GGGGACACATTAGAGAGGGATGAGAATGGGAATGTCACCAGTGAGGAACAGGGACACACCAGTGAAGGACACCAATGAGGGTTGGGGACACATTAGAGAGGGATGAGAATGGGAATGTCACCAGTGAGGAACAGGGACACACCAGTGAAGGACACCAATGAGGGTTGGGGACACATTAGAGAGGGATGAGAATGGGAATGTCACCAGTGAGGGACAGGGGCACACCAGTGAGGGACAGGGGCATCACTCATGAGGGATAGGGACACAGCAGGGAGGGATGGGGATGGGAATGTCACCAGTAAGGGGTGGGGACACACCAGAGAGGACTGGGGATGTCTCTGGGGAGGGATGGGGACACACAAGTGAGGGACAAGGACACACCGGTGAGGGATGAGGATGTCACTGGTGAGGGATGGGGACACACCAGGGAGGGCCAGTGACACACCTCTGAGGGATCTGAGGGGCGGCAGCCCCCATAACCTGCCGTGGTCTCCGCGCTAACCCCGCTCCCCCGCAGTGCCCGCCGCGCTGACCCTGGACCCGGGCACTGCCCACCACCGGCTCATCCTGTCGGACGACTGCACCATCGTGGCCTACGGGAACCTGCACCCGCAGCCGCTGCAGGACTCGCCCAAGCGCTTCGACGTGGAGGTGTCGGTGCTGGGCGCGCAGGCCTTCGGCGCCGGCGTGCACTACTGGGAGGTGGTGGTGTCCGAGAAGACCCAGTGGGTGCTGGGCCTGGCTCACGAGGCCGTGAGCCGCAAGGGCAGCATCCAGATCCTGCCCAGCCGCGGCTTCTACTGCATCGTGATGCACGACGGCAACCAGTACAGCGCCTGCACCGAGCCCTGGACGCGGCTCAACGTCAAGGGCAAGCTGGAGAAGGTGGGCGTCTTCCTGGACTACGACAAGGGGCTGCTCATCTTCTACAACGCCGACGACATGTCCTGGCTCTACACCTTCCGGGAGAGGTTTCCCGGGAAGCTCTGCTCCTACTTCAGCCCCGGGCAGAGCCACGCCAACGGCAAGAACGTGCAGCCGCTGCGCATCAACACCGTCCGCATCTGAGGGACCGCGGGGGGCCGGGGGGCCGCCCCAGGGACTGGGCCTGGCACGGGGCAGGATCCGGCGGCCCGGCCTGTGCTTCCAGGGAATCCCGGTGTGGGGGCTGGGATGTGGCAATAAAGGATTTGGAGAGAAGGGAGGCGGTGGAGGGACCGGGGTGGGGCACGGGGGGGCCGTGGAGGGNCTCTCCTCTTAGCCAGGGAACCACCTTCAGATGTTTCAGGTTTTATATCTGGATGGCAAAGAGACCTGATGAAGGGAAGGGCTTTCTGCTTTATGATAAAAAATAGAATATAAGCGAAGGAAGCACCTGTGCCAGACACCAGAAGGTGTCTGCTCACAGCTCGTGCAACACTGAAAGCAGAGCTGGGGTCTGCCAGGAGCTCAGGATTTTGGGGCAGACAGTCACCATGTAGACTGCTTGATAGTGGGAGATTCCCAAGGGAGTGGGACAGGATCTGAGCCATGGTTCAGCAGTGGAACAGGCTGCCCAGGGGGTGGTGGAGTCTCCATCCCTGGAATTGCTCAAGAAACAAGCAGATGTGGCACTTGGTTTGATGAGTGTGGTGGTGGTTGGTCCAAGGTTGACCTTGGAGGTCTTTTCCAACCTTGATGATCCTGTGATTCCATGATTCCTGTGTGGTCCCAGCCATGCCCATGCCACCACCAGAAGGTGACAATTGCTGTGTGAGTGGGTTTGGCTCTTGCTCTGAGAACCCCCACGGGGCAGATGCGGTGCCTGGGCAAACTGGGCCACTGGCAGGGGTGCCAAATGTGCCACTGGGCACTCCCCAGCACCGACTCAGCCAACCCCAATCCTGCACACAGCCCTTTCTAGGCCTCACTTTATAAACCAACTGTTCCCATTTTCCCCTGGAAAGGAATGGCCTCGTCAGCTGCTGGTCAGATCAAAGAGGTGCTGCTGAAGGGACCCATTGAAAACCTTGAATTTTCGAGGGACTCATTTCTTTCCACTCAATATAAGTCTAAAACCACCTGACAGATCATTCCAGACCTGGGGAAAACTCTAAGAGTTCTATGGAGCAGTGGGAAGGCTGGAGTGGTGCTTTCTTGTTCCTTACACTGAGTGAATGCTGCTCTGATCTCTGTCACACTCCAGATTCCCACTGCTTTTCCTTTGCCAGGGGAGCAAGGACAGACCTGTCTGAGACACGTGTAAGGGTTTAGTAAAGGGTGAACAAGGTCTTGTGCTGTTCCCTTCGTGGGAAGGTTTGTGCTAAGAGGCAATCCAGGCTGTGCAAGGCAAAGGAAAAGAAATATTTTAGCTATAATTTGTGAATCTTGTTACCTTTGGAGTTTGGAAGGCTGGTTGTGAGTGTTCCCACCATTCCTGTAGGATTTAGATGTCCTCATAGCCACCTTGAATAGAAGGAATGGGAGAAATAAAAGCAATAAACATGGGCCAGTATGATGGGAACAGGTTTGTGTTGCTCCCTGGGAAAGCCAGGATCTGGATCTGTGGCCTCCCAAGAGCTGCCAGTAAATACAAGAGTGAGACACAACCAAGACACCCCAGAGGTGACCTGTGGGCTTGGGGAAGGGGTTACACTGGCAGGAAGGTTCCTGGGACTGGTGGAAGCAGTGGAGGGCAGGGTTGGATCCCAGGATTGCTCATTCATAGAATCATAGAATCAGCTGGGTTGGAAGGGACCTCTGAGATCATCAAGTCCAACCCTTGATCCAACCCCGCTGTGGTTCCCAGCCCATGGCACTGATGCCACATCCCATCTCACCTTAAACACCTCCAGGGACGGTGGATCCACCCCCTCCCTGGGCAGCCCATTCCAATGGCTGAGCACTGTCTCTGTAAAGAATTTCTTCCCAGCATCCAACCTAAACCTCCCCTGGCACAGCTTAAGACCAAGCCCTCTTGTCTTGCTGAGAGTTGCCTGGGAAAAGAGACCAACCCCCCCTGGCTACAACCTCCT